GCAAAAACATTCGATACGGTGGGAACATTCTCAAATTTCAAACGTGCAATTGACTTTGCAACTTAACCGGATACCAATTGCCAATTTGGTGTGAACGAAGGTGATTGATTAATTTGAAGCGAATTTCGGCCAAAATCTATACTTAATTGAATACGATGGAGTAAAAATCACCTTCATTATGTTTTGCTGAATAAATTAAAACTCGGAAAAGTCGCTATTTTCTTTAAGTGAAACATTTTTGGTTTAGTTTGGATCGACTTTATTCATCATATTGAATTCAAAGTTGTCTTTTCTTCTTCTGATCTTCATTTTTCCTCTTTCGATAAAACGTAGAAGTGCCAAGAATTGTGTTCTTTTTAAAGTATATTGATATTAATTCCCATTTTTTTTTCTCGTTGGAATCGCTAGTATCTGATCTCTTCTAACATCGTGTTGGACAATACCAGATATTTTGAAATTACTGATTGACTATCTATCGGCCATATACTGAGCGCATCCAAATGGTTCTATGGTGTATTTTTTGCATTATGTCCATCATTTATGCTCTTGCTGTAACTAACAGATACAGTTATGCACATTACGTACATCCGAACGTTCGCACTGTAATATTTTTGTTGATTTTATGTTGTTGGTCGCTTTCAATCGATTCCATTGTTTGGATTGCAGAGACAAGGAAATTTGTTTTGGTTTTCGTGTTGAAACAAAAGTTCACAACTTATCCATTTTATGGTTGTACGTTCAGTAAACACATTGGAGTCGACTAGTCGATTGAACCACACAGTAGGGACGATGGTCATTCATCCGAATTTCCGATAAAATGACACAAAACGAATAAAAAAAAATCACGGAAAAAGAAAATATTGGTGTAAAACGAGTGACTGCAGTCTCTGATGGGAAAGTGTTGATGATTTTATGTTTCGATCAACCCTATTGTATGCGTATTCACAGTCCGCACAGATCCTAAATAAACACACAACTATACTGGTTTGTAAACAGTTAAACTCCGAAATGGCAAACTAATTATTTGAAATTGTGCACGTTGTTATTGAAGGTGTGTATGTGTCATCGTGGTCTTTTGCCCGTCTTGATGCGCCAGCCATTTGTGTTGACTTATTTACGCTTTGGCTGTTGTGTGCATGTGCGTGTGTTTATGCGAAATTTTCTCATCCATTGCTCGCTATCGCCCTCTCTGTATCTGTCTCATTTGAAAAAAGTGATTTTGTTTTCGATATAAACAAACAGTAAAAGTGATTTGGTAACTATTTAGTTGTATTTTTGGTGACTAATCCGAGTTCCAAGTCCCAGCCATTCAGCATCGATATTACCGGATTGTATACATTGATTGCCGTAGGCTGTATCGATGCAAACATTGCCGAACGTTTTGTTTAGTTTTTCCGCGTGGCAGCCAAAAGATGTCACCGACCAACACATAAAGTTTGCCCAGAATTGCTCGGGGCCATCGTTGACATTTGTCTATTACTCTTCTCTTTTTTTTCAGTGAAACAGAAGCAGTGACAGAAAGTTCAAAACTTTTTCTCATTGGGTCGAATACTTAAAAATGGTTTGCAATCCAAATAGCTGGATTCCCGAAAAGTTTGATGGAAATCTCACAGATTCCATTGAGCTATGAAACATCCAGTCACTGTTGATAGAGATTATAGACATCCATGTGAATTCAAAATGAAATTCTCGCGAAAGCCATGGAAATTCATTGAATTCGCTGGTTATGCGCGTGTAAATGACTTAGCAGTCCAAAAAAATGTGGCATAAAGGTGTTTAAATAGACTGCAACTCGAAGCTTATTTTTTTTATTTTTTCATGTCGAGACTGGCCCCAAGACAAAGCAATGCATGGCAGCTCGTTCCGTTTTTCATACCCGGCTGCGACGATAGTGTTCTAGTAATTCTTTTATGAAAATTTGACACGTGCATATGAATCATAATAAAATTTTATCCGTTGCTTCGTGTGTCCATGTTTCTTTTTCTCTTCTTCAAAAATATGCATTAAACTCAATTTTGCCGGCAATTATTTCTGGCTTGTGTTTAAATGCATCGCATGGTGTGTATTAAGCATTTTGTCTTAGGGGCGTCATGAAATTTGCGCATAACAAATAAGCACATCATAATTTCTGCATCAATTTATGGCAAAACTTTTGCTTTATCCCGAATTTGCACATTAACATTGCAAGCCGCAACGACATCATTAAGTAATGCATGAAAGAGACAATCGTATTTGATGCGAGGTTAGACTACCTCTCATTTACACTCAATATGACAAATACAGATCAATTGAATTTTGTATTAATTAAGTTCTGGCTCATAATAATGTGGAAAAAATGCCAAGAAAAATGGTGATCTTGGGTAAAGCACAACATGCCATTGCTTGATACATACATGTGAGCGATATAAATTAAATATTTGTAATAAAATGCTTGGAAAAATTCTAATGAGGCGACTAGACTATGCTGCGTATGTATGGCTAAATAAAGTTGTCAAGCAAAATATTTGTTTATCTCGCGAATGTTGAAAAAAAAGAGCCGAAAACGACTTGTGCATCGTGTCTTGTCTGGAGAGCAACTTTTTTCCATTGTCAAATGTTTACATACTTGTGCGCAATTGTTGTGTATTTCTTGAAAATTTTCTTCGCCTTCTCTTTGGCCGCCTGCTCGGTGCGTCTCTGTGCATTTGCTCGACTTTTGATTTCTTTCTTCATCTCTTCATCGCATTTATTCGGCGACACTTACTTATTTTTTTTTTCCATCAAACATGCGTGGACCACTTTTGTTTGGTTTGGATATTGTATATATAATTCAGCACTGGCTGAGAATTTCGATTAGTTTACTCGCACTTTATTACAAACGTTCTTGGGAAAAATGGTTACTTGGTGCGTTGCGTTAAAACGCAATTGCATAATTTTTCTTGTACTTCATTTTCGTTTCGTTTCGTTTCTCTCTTTAAACAACAGAAGAAAAAGAACGAAAGATGTTGTTTACTCATTTGGCTTGTGTGTTATGTTTTTTTTTCTTCTCTTGCCTTTCTTATGACCTTTGCTTACAGTTTTAATTTTGTGTGTGCTCTTTGGCATGCGCCGCCGCATCAAATGGAAATATTAATTGGATAGTGATAATGGTAAATGTCAATATTGTTGGCAATAATGAACAAAGCGCGAAATGTGTACATTCGAGTCCCCGGTCAATAGCAATATTCCAATTTATTTCCAATTCTATTGAAAATGAAGAACGCAATTTGTGCGTCATAATTCGTCGTATCATTTCTGTTTTACTCTCTCTCCCACTGCAAATACTAAACCAATGGTGTTCCATTTTTAATTAATGCTCATGCAAAATTTTCTGATTCCACTTTTTTTTTTTTTTATATCGTCCAATTTTGTCCTCGAAACAGGTAAAATTGGTATATGTTCGACCTTTTCCTAAACAGGCCGACTTTCATATTTTGCACGAGCATGTTATTGAAATGTTCGGCACTCATGTTCGGTACGTTTTTGATGATGTTGAAATTAGTTTCAGAAAGTCGCTTTCCATGTTTTCAAAGTCAAGCGATAGGATTAATCACTGAATTCATTATTGTAGACAAAAAATGGTATGATCCTGGTCCGTTTTCTTAGATATTTTTCCATTTTTTTTGAATCCAACTATGTTCACCGATGCGAACGATTAATATCTCAAGACGAGGCACCAGCAATCGAGTGCGCATTCCAAGAAAAGAAATTTCTTTAGTGACAATCCAAGTGCCAAATAAGGACATTTATTTATGATATGTTTTATATGGTGTGTTAGTAGCAGAACGAGCAATAAAAGTGGAAAATATTTCAGCACACATGCATTAAGAATGCTTTTATGAATGATGATTATGATGGTAGTAATCTTATAGGGTATGCGCCATTGAATATGAGTGCTAAAAAGTGATAGGTATTTTATCGGTTAATTCTTTATGTTTTATTTTTGAGTGATAAAATATTTCGCGCATCCAATGTCATATTCATGCAATCGCACAAACAAAACATGTGAGAGGAAGCGACGAGAGAAAGGAAAGAGATTATACGGCACAATTAAAAATGGTTGATTGGGGTTGTGCGGTGATTCGTTGGAATGACATCGACATAACCATATCCATGTGATGTGGCTTATATTTATCTTTATGTTGCCCAGAAGATTGTTGGCATTTGGCCTTTTGTTACAGAAATTATCGTCGTCGAAGACGAAAAAATCGTAGAAAAGAAGATCCCCCTAGCTTGGGCCTAAGCTTTCTCTCTGTTGTGATTTCATTGTTGTCGTTTATTGTCGATGGCATTTTTTCACTTCCTTTTTTTTTACTTCAGTCGTTTTGTTTGTGAATTTTATGCTCAAGATTCTATATACTGTTTTGGCTTTATATACTTACGTCTTCCGTGGAAAATGTCGTCTATTTTCTAAATGCTGAAATAGAAGAGAAACCAGCTCTCTACATACTCGCAATCTTACCCATAATACTTTCAATACATTCACTTGAATCGTAACTTCGTGTCTGTATTCCTCTTCGTTTTTTTTTCTCGACTGGTATCTTTCGCGGTGGATGTGTCTGGATGCGAAGAGAAATAGAGATGAAAAGCGAACGATGTTCGTTTCATGAGATTTGACTTTTCGATGGTTTTTACGTTCACTTATTTCGGGAAATAGGGGAAATGAGCACCAATCACAGAGGCCATGGTAGGAGGAGCGAACGCATTCATGTGATTTCATTTATTGTTGTTGTTCAGTCAAACGTATCCAGTTGTAAGCGAATGTAATAGCACCGATAGTTTTGGGCAAGAATGAAACGAGCATGCGCAATATGATAGAGCGATCCGAAAAGGGAACCTCAACAAATACGCACACCACACCACCAAATGTATATATACAACAATTGAATTGTAAACGATCCGCACTGTTTGATGAGTGGTTCGAAGAATATACGACACACAGTTTGATATTTGGACAGTTTTAACGTTGTTGTAATTGAATATCGTACTCATACTGTTTCGAACCATTCTAGCGCTCGGTTTGTTTGTTATACGTTCCGTTATTATCGAACTCGCTTTGGATTTGGCGAACTCGGGGAAAATAGAACTTTTTTTTTGTTGAACTCGGCGAATATCGATGTGCGGCGATTGTGGATTTTTTTTTTTTTGGTTGAAAATATATTAACAAAATAACAAAATTTAAACTGGAGTGACGCAAATTTAAACGTGTTTTTGTTTATTTTGTGACAATTCTAGCGTAGAACTGACATCAAAACTATAAAAGAATATGACAAAAAATTATAAACTATTGACCGACGACCATCTGCATCAAACGTGATTAATTTGAAGTGACAAAACAGAAACTATATTTAATCCACAAAAGAGAAAAGATATTCACCGGAAAAGTGTTTGATAAGAGCTTAAAGTGTTGATAAACAGACAAGGCAAAATGTTGGAGTTCTTTCATCCGCCAAATATCAACCAACAATCCGAACTGATGCAAGGACATCCGGAAAATATATCAACAACACTGTCCTGTCACGAAAGGACCGGTAAGTTGTGCAACCATGGTTGATGGAATGTGCTCTGAGAATTCTTTGTAAAATATCGCGTATGCAATCGAAACAAAAGAAAATTGAATTTTTGGGCTGCAATCGAATAATTTTTGCAAAAAAAAAAAAAAAATTACCATTCATTTTTTGCTCATCGACAATATTGGATTTCTTTTGTTTTCGTTCAAACATAAAACGCGTTTGTTCAAACTTCGTGAACAGTCAAACGTAATATGTAGCGAAATGTAACGATTTCAATTTCCAAATAAATTGGCCATAGTCTTCAGTTTTCGTAATGATTCATTCCGATTATCGTAAAAAATTGTAGGTCAACACTTGTGTTTTATGCAAAATTCCACGGGATACAATTGGAAAAAGTCAGAGCAATTGTAGTGGATGGGCAAATGATTGTGTGGATTTTTCATGAAAATCAATAATTTGCCGATAAACCACACTCGAAACGATAAGATAAAAATGGTGATAATAAGTCTATTGATTGTTTGGTTACACCACTGCTCTTACCGCCGCTGGTTTGCCCAAATTCTTCTACGTGGAAAATCTCATCCACATTTTCACCGATAACACTTCTTCATATTGTAATGACGAATTCCAATTTACCGAAAAATGTGTGTCGATTTTGTTTTTGATTGCATACCACGAAATATATACCGAACAAAACGAAATGAAAAGTGTCTATTCCGAAAATTCAGCAGTTAATGCAACATTTTGTGCTTTACTTATTTCCACTATTATATTCAGGATTAGGTGCTGTAAAATGCGAAAAAACTTATGAACTATGTGAGGGCTGCGGTCAAAAAATACACGATAGATATCTTATGCGAGTAGGTGATGCTAGTTGGCACGAACAGTGTTTATCATGTTGCGTTTGCGGTGTACCACTAGACCATTCTTGTTATGTGCGAAATTCCAAACTGTATTGTAAAACAGACTATGATCGGTAAGTTTAATTTTCGTCTGTCTTTTCTTCAACTGTATTTTTCCACTTCTTGGTTGGATGTTTAATTTAAATGTCTCGTTGTTTGTAATTTTGCACATTTTGAAGCACGAATGATAAAAATGTTGTTAAGAAAAATGTCTTAAAATTGACAGAGAATTCTAGCGAAGTATCTATGTAGATATTACCATTCTCCGTCAGTGATGTGCAGTAATTCGTCGATGAAAAGATATTCTTTGATTCAAAAGATGAATTCTTCCATTCAATGACGACAATTGATTTCATTCAACGGAGGCGTTAGTTTCGTGTGTGATACAATGAAATTCTGATGATTGTTTGGTCTTTTTTGTAGAAAAAAATGAATGTGCGCAAATGGAAAGAAAATGCAACCATTTTACAATATGAATCAAGCTCGGTACTGTCGAATGAGCAACAAAAAATTTCAATAAATTCTTCGAGCATAAAAAGAAATAAAATCTCAATATGAAATAGAGTGAAAATCCATTCGAAATACGACAGAAAAAAATGAAAAAGAATTTTCTTATTTCCATCTTTGTTGGAATTGTAGTCGGTCGTCTCATTCCGAATTCAATCGCATATCTACCATATTCCAGCATTGGGGTTGCTCAATGCTTGTGGATGGATGTGAATAGATCAAAAATGTTCATGGTATTTGTGCCGTATTCATTACGGCATATATATGGCAGAGAAACAGTGGTGTTCCAAGTGTGAGTGAATTACTGTTATTTGCCATTGCTGTTATTTGCATGCACACGATGCCGTTGCTGCAAAGATAATTTTCCGTTCAATATTGCAGGGAATGAGTACATTTTTTTATCTCTCTGGCGTCAACATTATACTAAATTAGATTGGAATGAATGTTTCTGAAAATGCGCTTGAATTGAGCGGATTTTTTTTTTTCGTTTCTGGATGCAAACTAGAATAATGGGAGTAATTCGTATTCAAAAGAATCAAACGTTGAATTGAAGTATTCATTAAACAGAATTTGTACAGTTCTCGCATACGGAATTCTCGTTTTAATATGACTGATTCCATTATTTCAAGCACTTATCATTCGTTGAATAAGACATTATTTTCTCTTCACTTGACTTCTCCAGTTGCATTGGAGATAGTTTTTTTTTTTCATAAAAAGTCTTAATTTTTCTAAACGCTTTCATTTGTTTCGTGCTTTTTCAGAATGTTTTCGATCAAATGTTTGCGATGCGGTGATCGAGTCCAACCGAATGATATGGTGATGCGAGCGCAGAATTATGTATTTCATTTGACGTGCTTTGTATGCTGCGTTTGTTGTCAGCCATTGCAAAAGGGCGAGCAATTTATTTTGCGCGGTGGTCAATTATTTTGTCGACACGATTTCGAAAAGGATTTATACCTATCGCAGCACCAATGTCCGGATGATGAATTTTTGATGGATGAAATGCGGCCGAGAGATGGACGACGTGGACCAAAACGACCAAGAACCATTCTAACATCGAGTCAACGTCGTCAGTTTAAGGCATCATTCGAAATGTCACCGAAACCATGTCGCAAAATTCGCGAAGCATTGGCCAAAGACACTGGATTAAGTGTACGAGTTGTTCAAGTGTGGTTCCAAAATCAACGTGCCAAAATGAAGAAGATCCAACGGAAATCGAAACAAGACGGCGACAAAACATCCGACAAAGACAGCTCAAAGGATGACAAAGGTAATGCCCGACGAGAATTGTTTAGCCATAAATGGCAATTATTTAACCAGTGATTTTGTTTCTATTACGATCACGTTTAGATTATTTGGGCAATTCAAATGACAGCTTCTGTAGTTCAGATATTTCGTTGGACGGTAGCAATTTTGATAATTTAGATGAGGCCACTTCGGATACATTATCTCTACAAAATTTAGACTTGCATGCAACGCACATCCACACCAATCTACTTGATGGCACAGCGACCGCATCGAACACATCAAACATCGGCAATGTCAATCCAATCGATAAATTGTATCTTATGCAAAATTCCTACTTCAATTCGGAACAATGAAATTCGGATTATGCGTGTCGTAGTCGAAAAACCATCGAAAATAAGGCAATCATGCTATGAATTCAATTAGGCATTTCAATACTATTTATTTTGCTTTGGATCAAAACATCCCTCTCTTTTCGTTTGTCGATTGTTTTAAATTCGATTCAATTCTATGCGGTTGAAAGCATTGTATCTTACTTATATGGAACCATTTCAACCGCAAGGTACAACCATGAACAAGATGAGACAAAGAGAGCGATAACAACAACAACCGAAAAAAGATCAAGCAAAACATCAACGTATGTGTGCCAATTCTATATTGTACGCTAGCTTTATTAGCATTGTTTCGATATGTTCAAAGCCATACACACAAATCATACAGTTTATCTCTATTTACAATTTATGCAACCTATATTTATTTTAGAATGGTAAAATCAAAAAAACAAAAACAAAATTATCGAATTTATTTGATTTAGTAGTATTTAATTTTTAGTGAAGAAAAAAAATAAGAATAATCAGGCAGATACAAATCGACCGTAATGCTTTAGTTAACTTCACGGTAAAGGGATTCGTATTTGAAATGACAACAAGAAGAAAATTGACCATCATTGCCGAGCATACAGCGATTTGCATGCAATGTAAGTATTTAAACCAATTGAAAGTTGCGAGCGCCTCGAATTGAATTAGCGCAATGAAGCTGTAGAACTAATTTACAACTACACAACAAATTCACCGAGTTTATTGTACTAACGCCATTTGTATGGTCGATCCACCAAAACAAGGAGCAAAACATTCGATCTCTGTTCATCTGTTGTTTCTATTTAAACTATAAATTTAAGAAAATGATGAATAAAACAAATACAAATTCTATAAATTTTATACACTTCGAAGTATGTATATGATTGTGATTGACTCTAGTCATAATTCTTAATGAAAAATTGATGAGAGCGATAAATGTAAGACAAATTCCAAAACCAAAAAAATAAACACACAGACGAAAAGAAAGAAAACCATTGAAAAAAGATTGAAAATCCTGTAAAATTATATTGTATTGATAATATATTGAAGTTATTGATTTGTATGTACTACTAGGAATTAAACAAAAAAAAAATATTTAAAAAATGCAACACAAAAAGCGCATATGTATTCTGTAGATTTGGTAATGGCATAAAACGTAAGGATAAGCAATAAAGAGAAGAAATTTCCAACGAAACTGAATTTTTATTCCATTTCGACGAATTGAATTGGGCTAAAGCAACCGAACAATAATAACAACAAAACCAACTTGTTCATTCAGTTTTCCTTATTCGAATTTATTAAGCACTAGCCACCTCGGCTCGCTTCGCTCGCCTCGGCGTCCAGCGATTGCTTAGTGGTAATATTTCCAGGCGCTTCGGCGTGCTCGCGCTCGCCCGCCTCGACCTCGATTTCAAAATGGAGATCTCATTTATTTCAGATCTAAAATCACTTGGAAATTATATTTAATGGTTCCGGATGATATTCATATTCATATTCATCTCCATTCCAAACCCGTTCATTTGACACCCATATCAACTGGAATGGTGTTAAGTCGTGTTAACGTGACCAAGATGGACCAAGATGGTGCCTATAACCATCTCGGGTCCGAGACCTTTCCAACGGTACCTGTGGCTTTCGGATCGGTTCAGTGGTTCCAGAGATCATCGCGGACAAATACACATAGCAACAGATTTATATACAGTGAGCGTCAAAATTTTTGGCACAGTTAGTTTTTTCAGT